CTCCACCTAAAGCAGTACTTGTGAAGATGGAAAAGAGTTTTTCTAATTTTTTCTGGGGACAATCTGAGCAAAAACTCCATTATCATTGGAGCTCTTGGGAACATATGAGTTATCCTACTAAGGAGGGGGGTTTGGGTTTCACAAGAATGAAAGATATAGTGGATGCCTGTAGTGCTAAACTTTGGTGGAACTTTAGAACCACTTCCACTCTTTGGGTCCAGTTCATGAAAGCTAAATACTGTTCTAGGGTTCATCCTGTGGCTAAAGTTTGGCAATATGGTGAATCTCATATTTGGAAAACAATGACTCTTGTTAGATCTAGGATTGAGCCATACATCACCTGGAGGGTTTATGATGCTTCTTTGAGTTTTTGGTGGGATAATTGGACTGGATTGGGACCATTGGCAAGGGTGACTAATCAGGCACATGGTAAATATTGGCAACAACCTCTCAAGGAGTACTTAATCAATTCATCTTTCAACTTTGACCACTTACAGTCCCTCATGGACCCTGGTTTTTTCATTCATTTTCAAGTATATCTTTCTTCTCTTGGCTCAAATAATGCTGATCAAGCTCTCTGGCAACCTAAATCCAATGGAGTTTTCTCTATGAAGGCTGTCAAATATTTCTTAAGGCCTTGTGGTAATGTTAATATCTACTTACAGAATTGTTGGCACACTTATATTCCTTTTAAAATGTCCTTTTTGGGCTGGAGACTTTTACTGAGGAAACTCCCCCTGGATTCCACTTTGCAAAAGTTTGGGTATGTCCTCCCTTCCAAATGAGTTGTTGTACCAAACCCACTTGTGAGACTACTGAGCATGTATTTGCACAAAGTGAGGTGGCTAAAACTGTGTGGAAATATTTCTGTGGGCTGTTTGGTCTGAATGAACAAGGCATATCCACTGTTAAGCAATATCTTAATGTTTGGTGGGGAGCTAAATCACATCCTAAAAAATACACTATTAGGGTTTTATTAAAACGATGTATGCCTGTTTTCATTCTTTGGGAACTTTGGGTTCATTATACTTCTGTCAAATATGGGGAGAAACAAATCAATGTTGCAAGGACTATTTTTAAAATACGGCAGGATGCTGTGGAAGCTGCAGCTAGGAAATGGCCTAACCTCCGTAAAAATCTTTCTGATTGGAAGACTATTTTCAATTTAAATGGCCATCTGTCCAGTTCTTATCAGACTCCTACTAAGATGTGGCAGTTTCCTCCTCCAAATAGTGTGAAACTTAATGTCTCTATGTTCTCCAAAGAACATCAATTTGGTACTGGTGCTGTGGTTAGGGACTCCAAAGGTATATTCTTGTATGCTTATGGCAGTGTTGGATATCCTCTTGATCATACTGCAATGGTGTTTAACTTCTGGGTATACTTCCCTTTATTGGGAAGCAGATTTTAAGGAGATGCTACAGCTCCTTAATCTTTCTATCCCACTTTTTACTGTGGACCATATCAGTAGGTTGGCCTTTTTACTTTCATGCTGCAGTTCTTCTACTGATTTTTGTGATGGTCATACTAATCGTGTTACTAATTATCTGGTCCAATGGTGTTGTAATCACCTTCATTCTAGTATGGATTTTTTGGGTATTTTTGATCTACCTGCACAATGTCGGCTCCTTTGTCAACATGATATTCAGCAGGTTCATAGCTATTCAGCTTCTAGCTCATGCTAACCTGAGCCTCTTATTGGCATGTAGTTGTGTTGCCATTTCCTGGTTAGGTAGTCCTTTCTACCCGGGGGTATGGAGAACTTGGATCTTGGGTGCGCTCTTTTTCCTTTTCCTACTTTCTAGGGGATTGTGTTTGCGTTGTTTGAAGAATTTTTAAACCATTACTGGTTATATTGGGGTTATGGAGAAGTTTGGATATTATGGGTGCGCTTATAATATCTTTTCCTAGCCTTGGTATGTATGGTTTGTGGAGTAAGGAGTGGTTGACTCGGATGGGTTTTTATTACTCCCGTTGGAGATGATTACCACTTCTTTGTGTTGCCATGCCTCTCCATATGGCCTTTATTGTCTTAGTGTGGTTATGCTCGTGTTGGCCTGGTGTGAGTTTGGATTGTCGTGTTGGTTTGATGTTTTAGACCTTATTGTGGCTTTGGTCAAGCCCTAGACTAGTATGTTGCTTGTTTCGATCTTATTGTGGCCTTGATCAAGCCTTAGTTAGCTTGTTTGTTGTTTAGACCTTATTGTGGCCTTGGTCAAGCCGTTTAGGTTCCCTTACCCCCTTATTTGTTATTGTATCCCCGAAAGGTTTGTCTTCCGTATGAGAGGCTGGCGTTAGGCCATGGTATAGTCCTCCCCTCACTTTGTGGCTCCCTACTATCTTAATAAAACTCGGTAAGGGTTGCCTAGACCTTATCCCACCAGACTTGGTGGTTTGCCACTGGGATTAAAAAAAAGGAAGGTTCTACAGATGGAGGTTATCCTGTTAAGGACAGATTTATGGATGGGAAAAGCTTGGAGCCAAAAACCTTCTATCCCTTGGATAACACTCCTTATAAGTTCAGCTCTACCAGCAATGGTCAAAGTCTTTGTGTTCCATCTTCTTATATTATCATCAACAGTTTCAATAAATGGTGCAAAATCCCTCTCTGATGCCCTTTGTGAAGTGAGTGGCAGCAATGGTCAAGGTAGGTGCCATGGGATCCCCTTGTCTGATTCCCCTTTTGCATTTGATGAAGCCATGAATTCCACCATTCAAAGATAAGAAAAAGGATGCAGAGGAGACACATTCCATTACCCAAGCAGTGAACTTAGTAGGGAATCCAAGGCCAATCATAGTCTTCTTCAGAAACTCCCAAGAGATAGTGTCATATGCCTTGGTTATATCCACTTTAAGCATGCAACAAGGGGGGCTTCTCTTCCTGGCATACCCTCTAACGAAATGTTGGGCCAGGAGTATGTTGTCCACCAGACTTCTCCCACCCACAAAAGCAGACTGGGATTCATCAATGATTTCAAGAAGTGTGTGACTCATTCTGTTGGACAAAATCTTAGTGATGACTTTGTAGATTACATTGGAGCAGGCTATGAGTCTAAAATCCCTCAAAATCTTAAGAATTCTGCCACTTATAATGAACTCAGACACTGCTTCATAAAGATTATTTCCAACAATCTCCCACTTATCCTTGAAAAAAGCAGAGGTATAACCATCAGGGCCTGAGGATTTATTGTTTCCAATCGAAAAGAGTGCATCCTTAACCTCTTCCATAGTCACCTTTCTGATGAGGTTGTCAGCTGCTTGGTTGGGGATGAGAGGGCCCTCTTCAAAAACATTCCAATCAACAGGTTCAATGGGAACAGTGATTCCAAAGAGATTGGTAAAGTAATCAATAAATTCTTTTTCAATCTCCTCCAAACTGGTGGTGAGTCTCTGATCATTTGTAACAATGAAGGGGATGGCACTGCTATGATTCTTTTTCCTCATAAGGGCATGGAAAAATTTGGTGCACTTGTCCCCCTCAAAGAGCAGTTCACACTTTGTCTTTTGTTGGAAGAAAGATCTTTCAGCATCTATGAAGAAACTTGCTTTATTTCAGAGTTCCACACTCTTAGACAGAAGGGAAGGGTTGTCAGGTTCCAGGATCAGCTTCTGCATGAGATGGCTGTACTCCTTTCTAGCAGATTCAGCTCTCTGAGAAATATGGCCAAAGTGTAACTTATTCAGAAGCCTCAGAGGTTGTTTCAGTTTTTTGAGTTTGACACATAATCTGTATTGCCTTGTGCCATTGATCCTTTGATCCCAATTATCCCTGATCACCGTATCAAAATCATCATGCTTGAGCCACATGTTGTAAAACTTAAAAGGCCTTGTGCCTTGGTTCTGAATATTCATAAGCTTCAGTACCACTAAACAATGGTCAAAGATAACCTCCATCTCTCTAAACTCAGCCCAACAATCCCATTGCATATTCTCCCATTCATCATTGATCAGAACTCTGTCAAGTTTGGCCCATTTATAACCTTTGTTCCAAGTAAATTTCAGCCCTGATGAGTTAGCATCATTGAGGGCATTGTTGATTCTGAACTGTCTGAGATCTGTCATGTAGTAAGCACTCTGGGTTTGGCAGTTCACTCTTTCAGTGGAGCTGATAACTGCGTTGAAATCCCCCATGATAGCCCAAGGGCCACTGAGATCACCTGAAATGTTAGTCAAAAAATCCCACAACGCCCTTCTGGCAGTAACACAGTAGAGGGCATAAACAAAAGATACACAAAAAATCCTTTGGGAAATGAGGCACTTAATCTTACAATGCATAAGCTGGTCAGTGACATGAATAATAGTGCACTCCACAAAAGAAGGATTCCAAAAAACTGCCATCCTCCCATCATTAATAAGGTCAAAATTATGTGAAAAGCTCCATGATGGGAGTTTATTTTTAGCAAAAAGGTTAAGTTTGGGAGCATGCATTTTTGTTTCCAAAACACAAAATAGGTTGACACCAAGGTCATAAAGGTATTTACACAAAAAGGCTTGCTTAGAGGCCTTGCCAAGGCCTCTAATATTCCAACAAAGTATCTTCATCAACGGTAAGGGCCATAGCCCCTCCCCCTTCCTCTGTTAACCCCACCTCTATATCCTCCAGTTTGACCTCCCCCTTTGTTGTATCCAGTTCTCTGCTTTCCATCCCTGATAGGGTGTGTTGTAAGTTTGCCCTTGCCACCTCCTACTTGTGTGAAGCCATCATCCTCAGCGTGGGCAGTGAAGGATGGGCCAGGATCATTTGGGTTATGGGCCACACCACCAGAGGTATCCTTTTCCTTCCCTTTGTTTTCCATAGTGTTGTTCTCATCATCTTTCCCATTATCCTTTCCCTTCTGTGGTTGGTGTTGCCTTCCAGTTATTACTTGTGCTTCTGTAAGCATTATAGTTTTGAGGGTTTCAACCCTAGCCCTCTCTTTTGATTTTTGTTCTTTATTGAATCTCCTCTTGTTGATCTCATGAAGAACTGAGCAGTTAAAGGGGTCATGACCAAAACACTTACAGTGATAGCAGTATTGTGGCATGTCCTCATACTCAACCTTTTGAACATAGCTACCCCCAACAAAATCCACCTCAACAGAAGTAGGAGGTATAAGGGATAGGTCCATGTTTATCAACATTCTGCAGTAGTTAGGCCTCTGGTATTTAAGCTCATCATTCTCTGCCTGATCTTCATCAAACAACTTGGATGCCACTGTGTGAGTGAGGCCATCAGTGTACATGGGTGTGCCCAATTGAGACCCTATATGAGATAGAGCATTTGGAGACCAGAACCTCATAGGTAAATTCCAAAGCTTAACCCAGACAGGCATGGTTGAGAAAGACTTTACATCCCACATAAAATCATCGGGAGGGATGTTAATAAGAAGCTTCTTATTGTTGATTTCCTTCTTGGCCTATATGAAAGCAGAATCTCTATCTTCCATAGAAAGAAATTTGAAGACAACCCATCCTTGATGATGAGGCAGGAACTGGCACTTAACTCCCAAGCTGTCAACCAGTTTTTGAATTGCTCCCAACCCAGGGAATCTGCCAGTGAAGCAGCCCACCAGACAAGGTCCCCAAATCTCTTCCACAGTCAGCATATCTTCTTCAGGTATAAAGCATTTAGGAGCCACAACCTTGTGAAGTTCCATTCCTTTATTTTCAGCTCTGTTTTTCTTAAAAAAGGAGGCAAAAGATTTCTTTCCATCAACCGGCTTATCCACTTTATCTTCATTCAGTTTATCTCCACTTTTGTCAGTATCAGGAGGAGCTCTTTCCTTCTCTTTCTCCTCAATGTTGGTGGGTTGTTCCAATGGTGTATCAGAAACATTGTCAGGGGGTATCTCCTTGTTCAGAGGTTGTTCATTGGCAATAGCATTATCAACATCATCAGTTAGGATGGCTTCCAGGTTCTGCTCTAGTGAGATTTGGAGAGCCCTAGCAACTTCCTCTTCATCAATTGAGGTACCAATAGAGGACTGAGCCGAAGGTTCACCCTTTTCCTCATCAGACAACTCCTCCCCAACATCCACAGTGTTCACAACGTCAAGTTCATCATCTACTACAAGTTTGGTGCTCTTTTTCCTCGTCGTAGTAGGAGGAGGAGAATGTGCAGGGGTCTTCGTCGTCTTCTTAGGCTTCTTCCCCATAGCAAAAGACAAAGAGAGACAAGCCACACTTACCTGGAATTCATGGAAGAAGAGTGTGTAGAAGATGAACAGTAGATATCCAACCCTAGCTTTCGTTGACTTCAGGAGATGACGGAAACCAGGGATTCCACCATTGAAGAATCTGAAATCAATCAGGAGTTATACCAACAGGATCGCCGCGAAAATGAACGGAGAAGACAACCGGACACTGTTCATGCCGATCGCCTCAGCTCTTTCAAGGGTAAAATGTAAATTATTATTACCCTAATCAGAATGGTACATCAATGTCAAATGCTGAACCATAAGAATGGTTCCATGCATGTATAAGACAATTACAATAACAAGCCCAAATGGGTAACAAACAAACAACAATACAAAGTTGGCATGCAGGCCGTACAAAATAAACATCTAGAAAAAATCAACAGTGTAATCCAGCACGCCCAAGCTCTTGCGTAATCCAATTCCAGCTTCCAGTACCCTGCACCATCAACGGCATGCGGTAGGCAAAGCAAGAGCAAGGAGGGAGTATATATTGGTGGGACAATCCAACTCCAACCATACGTACTCCCTCTCAAGGATCAGGTATCGCATATCTTCACACAGGTGATCCGCAAAGCTACTTCAAAAAAAAAAAAACAGTCCAAAAGTTCTGCATCCATGGTTGCATCCAACAGAAGCACGAGTTATGTTATCCTTGCCATAGATACCACCGGCATGCCAAGGGCCATGCCTCGAGTACCAGAAGTTGTCCACCATCGTCGAGGAGGACAACTTAACACCAAAGTGACCTCACCCTGCCATACAGACCCCTCCCCTATGTCTACGGCCAGAGTGCCCCTAGGTATTTGGCAAGCATCCCCATACAAACGAGGCACAAGTTCACCACGTTGTCCCACAAGCCTTCATCTACTATTGCCCTCGGTTGTTCAGAAACAATACATAGATAGGCAGGCAACCAGCAAAAACGACCTCCGAAACCCGAGAAAGTAGCCCAGTTAGCCTGAAGAACAACTTCATAGCCAAGATAGTCCCGGTTCTTCCAACAACCCCAACCGAAATGGTCAAGAAGAGTACTGGGCAGCTTGCCAGCAAGACCAAATAGCAATAACAAACATAAAACCCAGCCCAAATTAAACAGCATTACTTCAGGGGCAACGGGAATGCCTTCAATTGCCCAAAAACCACCACAAAACCATTCCAACTTTATCCAAAATCAGCCCATGATCAAAGCAAAAACATATCAAATAAACACACCAAGGAAGCCTAAGCAAAAGGGAACCAGGAACCTAAGCAAGCGCCAAGCTTTGGCTCCATCTTCTCTCCGGCCTTCCAACCCAAAGCAATCAGCAACACCATAGTTTCTGCCAGGAAATGCAGCAACACGCACACTCCCAGGTAATGTTTTCTTGCGGCAGACCTCTCTTCAAGAGGAGGTGAGAACCAGTCCCCTAGGTCATGCGCAGAGAAACCAAAACAGCAGCAGCAAGAGCAACATTTCAGGGCCATGTCTTCCTTAAAATCAATTCACCATGCTTCCACAGTCCAGCCCACATCGCAAAATAGCTGATGCAGGTTCATTACTACCCATTCATCAATAACAGTATCAAGTCATCACAAATCAGCAGATGTAGCTCCTTCAAGCATTGGCACATCCCTCCACACCACAATCAACCCCTGTTGGCTCTTCCATAGTCATTAGGGGGGTAGGAGGATAAGGCTATATGCATCTGCAGACCAGTGGCAAACCATGTTCCCAGCCCTCAAACCCCAGTGGCAAACCAGCAGCAGATTCCAATAAAGGCCAAAGTACAAACAAGCATTTGAAGTAACAAAAAAGAAACAAGTTCATCACAGCAATACACAAGCTGACTTCACCATTACCAAGAACAAAAACCAAAACCCAAAACACCCAGGTTTCATAATGCCCAGTGGTAAACAAACAAATACCAGTGCGTTGAAGTATCCATAGCAAAATAGTGAAAAACAAGTGTTGAACATTCCAAAAGAACCGCACAGATTGGACCCAAAAAACTAGTGACAATCGCACACCATTACCGCAGAATGAACCTTGAAAATCGAATTTCAAAGTCCCAAAATCCAATGAAAAGCAAACGATTGTGGAAGCCACCAATATAACTCGAAATGGGATTACAAATCGCCCATGATTTCAAAAGGAAAGCCATCAAAAGTGATTCAATCTCCACGAATCAAAGGACATAAATTGCGAGTGAATAGTAATTTCGCAGGCGTTGACCTTCGTTTCCTCAAAATTCAGCTCAAAAAACAGCAATCAAAGCTCTAATACGGACTCACCAGCTGAAGGCGATCCTAGAGTTCCAAAAATCTGAAGCTAAGACCACAAATCGATGGAGAAATCGGGAGAAGCCCCCCTCACGGTACTGTTCATCTCGCGTTCTAGAGAGAGACACCCGCCTCCATTATTATTGAGAGCTCTTTCAACGGGTAACATGTAAATTATTATTACCCAAATCAGAAAGGTACAACAATTCTAGTGCCAACCACAACACGGTTGCAAGCACTAATCACAAATTCTAAATAAAATACATCCACACCCTCAAACACGAAACACAATTGAAGATCAAATGTAGGCAACAAACTGCCAAATGGCACGCAGGCCAAAACAAAAAAGAAAGTAATCCACATCTTGATTTCCCGTCCTCATCTTTCTCGCAAGTCCAACGTGCATTGGCAAAAGTGAAAGGTAGAACTTTGAGTGCCCGCTCCAAGATACAGGCCAACACAAGCTCTACACCCAATCCAGCTGAGTCCACAACGTGCTGCCCAATTGTTGTATAGTCGAGTCCAAAGCAAGTCAAAAGAGCTCCATGGCCGGGCATGCTCCATTGTCCACACTACGATCAACATCCCCCATCTGTTGTCCTAGTGAAACTGGGACGATAAGGCCTAAGTTCTGAGTTCACGATGTCGTCCACCCTCGTCAAGGAAGACAACAAAGTGCCAAGATCACCAGAGAAAGCTCTGACCATTCAAGACGGCATAAAATGATTGGCAATCATCCTCCAACTGACCGGGTAAGAGTATCGCTAGGATGTCCACAACAAGAGAACAAGAACCAGCGAGATCCTCCATCATGCAAACCAAAACTACCCCATCAGCAACAGCATCACTAAAGCACCGCGGACACCAAAAAACAGGCATGATCCAAAAGCAAGGACAGGTTGCCCTAAGAATCCCCTAAGCAGTAGGGAGCCACAGAAAGGGGGACCCCAAGGCTCCAAGAACAAGTGAGTATGGACCAACCGTCCTTCACAACTTCTCCCAACAGCAAATAACAAATTCAGTCCTTCACAGCCCAAAGTCAGTCATCAACAACCCAGAATCAGCAGCTCCCCCATAATTGGTACGAACCAAAATCAGCAGCTCCACCATTTTCAGCCCATAAACAAAATAGATCCAAATTGCAGGGGAATGCTGTTTCGTTACTGCCTTACTGCCCAGGCCAAGGCAGCAGGAAAGCCACTGTCAAGCCAGCATCCATAATCACAGGAAAGTCCATAGCCAGGTTGAACAGGCAGTCCTTCGAGCAGGCACAATCATACCCAAGGCATAAACAAGGCACAAGGTTACTAGCTCCCTCCCAACATCAACTTCCACACAAACAACAAATGTCAAGGGTTCAAATCAGTCCTTACCTCATGCAAATGAGGTAAAGTATGACAAAGTTGAGTGTTAAGGAGGTTGAGGGAAAGGTCGAACTTTCACGAAGACCATTATACCAGGGTAGATGTTCCAACATCGAGGCACCTTATTCAAGAGGAGGTGAGAATCATTGGCAAACCATCTTCCCAGCCCTCACACCTCAGTGGCAAACCAGCAACAAATTCCAATCAAGGCCAAAGTACAAACAAGCATTTGAAGTCACCAAAAAGGAACAGGTTCAACACAGTAATACACAAACTGGCCAGCATTTCACCATTACCAGGAACAAAAACCGAAACCCAGAACACCCAGGTTTGAATATACCCAGTGGTAAACAGACACGAAAATACCAAGGCAATGAAGGTTTCAAAGCCAAATAAAACAAGTGCTGAACATTCAAAAAGACCACAAAGACTGGACCCAGAAACCAGTGACAATCGCCCACCATTATCGCTGAATGAACAGTGTAAATCGAATTTCAAAGTTCCAAAAATCCAATGAAAAGCAAACGATTGTGGAAGCCACTAATATACCTCGATAGGGGATGAAAGAACACCCAGGATATCAAATGAATAGCCATCAAAAGTGATTCAGTCGCCACGAATCAAAGGATCAAAATTGCGAGTGAACAGTAATTTCGCAGGCGTTGACCTTCGTTTCCTCAAAATTCAGCTCCAAAATCAACAAAACAAGCTCTAATCCGGAATCACCAGCAGAAGGCGCTCCTAGAGTTCCAAAAATCTGAAGCTAAAAGCTCAAATCGATGGAGAAATCGTGAAAACCCCCCTCGCGGCTACTGTTCATGTCGCGGCTAGAGAGAGGAAAACGTCAGACTATTGAGAGCTCTTTCAACCATAAAATGTAAATAGAATAAAGAATAAGAATGTACAACTAGAATGGGCATACCCGAGCTTGGAAATGGCAGTTTCCAAATCCATAAAGATAACAACATCACCAAATGTCCACAAACCAATTTATAAGACAACAAACAAACCAAGGCAAACACGCCAAAAGCAAAAGCTAAACAATCATCAAAAGGTTACAGAGTACAAGGGCCATAGTCTCCCTAGGATAGAATAAACCATAACCTTGATTTTAGAAGTCACAACCTGAATGGAGAGAGGTTCGCGCTCAAAGTGGGCAGCATTACGTAGCTTCCAGAGGTGGAAAACAGTGCAAGCAAAAGCAATCCTTCTCGCCTTCTTGAGGATCCCATCCCCTCGCCTAAAAGCCTTCAGCCATCTGATGGTTCTGGTGAGGGTACTCAGGTGTCCTTCCATACCTAGCCAAGTCTTGATATTGTCCCAAACTTCTTTAGAGAACTGGCAGCTAAAGAACAGGTGGTCCACATCTTCCAACCCATGTCCACAGAAGGNGTCTCCCCAGGATTGGTTAGCAAGGACTCTATCCAGTTTAGCAAGCTTGTTCCCTTTATGCCAAGTGAAGAAATTTCCAGTAGAAGGAACATCTTCTAAGCAGTTAGAAGACTTGAAGGCTTGCAGATCAGTCATATAGTATGCTCCCTGGCTCATACAGTTCACCCTCTCATTGCTAGCCAAAACACAGTTAAAATCCCCAAGCAATGCCCAGGGTATGGTAATATTCTGTGCTAAAGAAGACAAGTCATGCCACAGCTCCCTTCTTTTGGTAACAGTGTACAGGCCATAAATGAAGGATAGGACAAACTCCTTTTGTGTTGTGAGGCATTGGACTGCACAGTGAAGATATTGCTCACCCACTCCCACAACATTACACGCAAAAAAGGAAGGGTTCCACAAGATTACCATACGACTGCCAGGCAAAACTTCAAAATTGGTGGCAAATCTCCACGATTGAGAGCTCTTTCAAGGGTAACATGTAAATTATTATTACCCAAATCAGAAAAGGTACATCAATGTTATATGCTTAACCATCAACATGGTTACACGCATATTTAAGAAGTTACAAGTACAAGCAATTACAACACAATACATCAAAACAACAACTACAACCAAGGCCAAATACAATTCCCTTCGAAGAGGTTAACTTCTACAACACACGGAGGCCAAAAATCAAAACAACATCATGCTTACACTGCTCCAGTTAAGGCACAGCAGTGAGCTCTTGTCAAACAAACATTACACACAGGTACATCCAAGTCCCTTCAAAGAGTGTTTATGCTCTTCTACAACACAGGGAAGCCCAGAGAGTAGGATTCAAAGCCACATCCAAAACGGTGAAATCATGTCAAAACGACCATTACAAACATGTATGCCCAAGTCCCTTCAAAGAGTGTAACAACTCTTCTACAACACAGGGATGCCAAAACAGGAGTAGTCAAACCCAAATATCAGCACACTCCTGTCAAACCAACCATTGCAAACAGGTAACCAATCATCAGAAAAAGCAATGAAACAGTAGCCAAATCATTCCAGTTAGTGCTAAGGGCTGCAACAACATTCAAAGCAAGATATCAAACAGGGATCCTCTTGAGGAGAGCCAAATCAGAATGTTCCAGGTCAGGTCCATTGAGTCTCCAACAGCAAAATTGTTCCAGTTCACCCATAAAACAGAGGCAGGGTCATCACAGAAACAGTGGCTTAATTCCAGCAAATCCTCAGCCCCCCAAGCCAAGTGGTAGCAAATCAGAAACTCCCTTATGCAAATAAGGAGAGGCTATGCCATGGCTGGGTAAGAGTGGCCAAGGTTATCAGAATTAGGTCATCTTCAGAGAGTCCAGCATCAAAGGGACTATAATCACACAATGTTCCACCAAAGTCAAAGGGCAAGGGAGGCAAACCAATTATCACATTCCTTCAAAGGAAGAAGGGCAATGTGTGTCATGGTTTGACTCCAGAACACAGAGGAAAAAGATGAGAGAGGGAAGCA